CAGTATCTTTCACATAGAAATATCTACGTGTCTGACATTAAGTTTTAAGCACGGTAGATTTTACATGAATAGGCTATTTCTCTGGTAGAATATAAACTAATTTCAACAGGTTGATTTTCACTAAGACATAATTTTTGAATTTTCCTGATATTAATGTCACTGTACTTCATCAAGAAAGAAAAAGAAAGCAACTATTTGATCAACTTTGAATAGCATGACACAATGAAAAAAAAGGTCCTATAGAGGTGAAAAATGACATTTGTAAAAGTTTTTACAAAAATAGACATTATAAATCAAATAAAATTTCCTTAATGAAGGAGGGATAAATAAACACAGGAGGCATGGCTGTTCAGAGGACAGAATAAGCACAAGTGTATCCATCTATCAGGTTTTAGTTCTCATTGGCATCTAATATCATCAACATATACACAAAATAGAAAAAGTTGCCCCCAAAATGACTGGTCTAAATCATTGAAATAGCATTGGGTTCTTGTCTTCATTATGAGGATCCATATTTTGTTACCTTTTCTCACCCCTTTCAAATTATTTCTTCCTTCCCAAAGGTGACAATTACTGACACATAAACACAAATGAGAATATTTTTATTTTACATTTCCTGAAAAGAAAGAAATGTGATGTGGCCCAATAATTCCAAGGGTTTTCAAAAAATTATCTGCACCATAGCAAAGATAATGATAACATAGTGAAGCAGAAACAGAAGAAATTTCGGGTAGACATAAAAAAAAGTGACGTGAAGATGATTACATATTAAAGGAAGATTCAGGTGCCAGCAGTAAATAGATACTCTTAATGAAAATAAATTGTATCTGGAACTGATTTGATGGAGAGTGTGGTTGTTATCGCTCTCTAGCTCAGTGAGTTAAAACTGCTGCAGTCAATTTTTTAGTGCTAACTTTGTATTTTAAAGCAATACATTTTTTTGAAACAAAACAATAACTTATAAAGAGGGTGGCTTCAGAATTATCATGAAATATTTGGACATTGGCTTAGTTAGCTTTCAGATTGCAACGGCGTGTTTTAAGGTGATTTAGATAATTGCTATTTTCTACAGATTTTATTATTCTGAAATAAAGATCACATAATCAGTGACAAATCAGTGATACTTAAAAGTTATTCACATGCTTTACATATTATGAGTAGCTAAAACAGGATCACATTCAATTCCTAAGTGGCCAAATAACCAGAGCTGCCATCTTGTGGATAGCAAGGTAATGGGCAAGTCTCTGCCTCAGGATGATACAGAATGCTGCAGTTTCGTATTTCCAGCTGTTCGAAGTAGAACTGGTTAGAACCATTTAAAGGTTGTTTGAATTTCTATGTTGTGTCTGTAAATTATCACCTGAAGATTGTGCTCATCTCTTACAAAGTTAGCATTAACCTAAACCTTATTAATATGTAAGAAGAGAGACAGTGTAGGACGGTTTCTCTAGTCTAATTAGCCTCTAGTGCTGATTTGTTTTGATAATATAAATAATTAGTTTAACCACCAAATTGATGTAACAGAAATAATTGTCAGGCAATTAAATACTGCAGTGATTTCAGCTCTCGGGAAATGTATAGCAGGTAGGTATGGTAATAAAACTCAGTGAGATGTGCTTGCTTGAACTACAAAATAGCATCAGTCTTTTTTAAAAAATAATTTAGAGCCTTCATGTTCACTAAATCATAACATATACACATTATAAATTTACTAAAAGTAAAGATGACATTAATTCCTATAATGGTTTTCTTTCTTTATATGCTATTAAATTTCAAATATTTTATGCTCTTTGGAGTTCAGCAATGCTAGCTGGCCTCCATAGCTGGAATAAATAATAAATAGTCATACAATGTCAAGAAGTATATTTTAAAGTGCAGAGTTTATTTTCCTTTGATGAAAACTTAATATTTTTCAAAGTATTGAGAGTAAAATGTTTTTACTACAGTCTGTATTAATATTAAAGTTGTTATTCAAAAAATAGCATGTGATTTGTATCTTCATTGCAAAGAACACACTTATATTACTCCAGATTGCTTAACTGATTTCCACCAACGATTAATTATATCCATGGCTTACCTCAAACCCTTTCTGAGTATAACTATGTAATTACTCAAAAATAAAACATGTTATTTAAGGGCTGGAAGTATGACTTAGCAAATCAACAGATAGATTGCTCTGGCAGAGGACCCAACCTGATCCCCATCACTCAAGTTAGTCAGCTTACAACTGCCTGTAATTGCAGATCCACTGATAACCATTGCCGTTGTCCTCTTCTGGCATCTGTGAGCCCCAGCATATACATTCTCTGACCCCCACACAAACACACAGACATTCAAACACACACACATGCACATGCACACGAGCAATATGTTACTCTCTAATAATGAGCTAGAATAAAATTATGGGTTAAATGCTCATCGATTATAGCCTAACATTAATATTAAGTATTTCTCCCCCACTTGCTCTTCCCATTACTTCTCTCATTAGTTAAAAAACATTCTGCTAATTTTAATTATTCATACAAAACTTAAAATTGAGATACAAAATTATTTTTTCACTTAAATAGGTGGTATTGCAAATTTAAATTATTGACTCATTAAGATATTAAACTTTTGAATACATATGCACTAAAATCTATACCTTAAGATTATAAATTTTATGACACAAAACCTGTGCCTGTACATAGGTAATCAACTCTAAATAACTCTTGTATAGAAAGCAGATAACTGGCAAAAATGTCAATGGAACACTCATCATATCATATCCTATGTCATATCATATTCATTAGTCTATGGTAAGCTGCACTGTAACACTAGAAAAAATGAAAAACAATGGAAAAATTATCATTTTGCACAGTTAATTATTGTAATATGCATTTATCATAAAAACTAACTGAATGGCATACACACACACACACACGCACACACACACACACACATATATATATATATATATATATAGAACAGAATGTTTTATAAGTGAAGCTGGATATAGCCTAATTTCTTCTAGTTATCTATCTCTGGCATTAAATATTTATATCATTAATATTTTATATAAAACATGAAGTATAGGAGCATATTTTACTTTATAAATTATTTTCTCCATGACATATTCTCTTAGCAAATGTAATATTGTAGACGTATCATTTGTCTACCAGAAATATAGTTGACATTCCCATTGTCCAAATTCATCTTTCTGGTTTGTAATTCAATTTTAGTTCACTTTACCAGGCATTCAGATTTTCATCCAAAACCTTGTGATTTTAGGCAGAAGTAAATGAACAGTGTCTTCCTCATTTCTTCAAATATTTCTTGACAAATAGATTTTATTTTTTAAATTTAAGTTCTCCTTAGACTTGACTAATATGATTAAACCCACAACTATTCTGGAAAGGCAACAACTTTGAAGAAAAAAAGATCTAATATGTGAGTTACTATTATAAATCAAGTTAATTTGACACAGTATGTCTAAGTTGAAATTTAAAGAGTTTAACATCTTTCTTCTTTCATTATTTTGAGAGCACTAAGTTCACTTTCCATTTTAACCCTCATAAACATCACTAAACTGAATCGTTGATCTTTTGTAGGCAATATTAGTGATTTTTTACAATATAATACACTTTGGTTTGTACAACAAGTCTACACATTGCCTTATATCATTTTTGCTATGGTTGATAGTCTCACACTAGTTCTTTATAATAGATGCAAATGAGATCAAATTTTTACAGATTGCAAATTATAGCCTTGGATCTTGAAGTTCATTCAGAACGCAGCTCTTGAATCACATACAATCCTGAAACATGGAGTGAGTTAATCCAACAGTCAAAATTGACGGAACGTAGTAGGAGCTGAGGGCAGTTCTTCCTAGTTGCTGTAAACTTTTGGAACCTTTATGGAAGTGATCCAGTAAAATAATTTATTCATTTTGAAAATGGCCAGTAATTAGAAGGAATATATCCTGGTGCTCATTATTCAGAAAGGAACGAAGCAACAGGCATGCACACCACAAGTCAAAGGTAGCATCCTTTTCCTGAAGGGGGATGTGAACGAAGTGAGCCTCCTGGTGTCTGTCCCTGGTGCTGATGATGACTGTATTTCACACTGCACAGTTTTTAAAAGGTTAGCCTTGGGATACATCAGTAATGGATTTAGGAGGTGCTCGGTCAATTCTTGCATTTCACAGTGATGCCACTGACAGCTCCTTTTGGTGAGGAAACCTGGAGTATATTTCAAGGTGATTGTAGTTCTGTCCCTCTGGCAGCAAGCTACAATAACCAGCTTATGCCTTTATCCTCCTCTCCCCATGAGAACTAGCCTGGGGAGAAATATGGGGCTTTTGTCAAGAGAGTAAAGCATGGATAATCATTCTCCATTTGTGTTGAAAAAAATTAGAATACATCATTTTAAAGTAGCTCTCAATTACTTAAGTTGAATTGTCTTCAAATCCAGTGACTTGTAAATTACTCATTTTAAAAATCAATATTAATAGCATTCTGTATTGTTATACTTTTCAATATTTCATACTTTAAGCTTTGCTGCACAAACTTTGAAGATCTTGTTTAACATTCAGATAGGAAAATAAATGATCATTTTTTTATATTTATATTAGAAAGTTAAAAATACAGACATATTTCTGGCAAGATTGGCTTCACAGTCATCTACGTTATACTTTTTCTTAACTTTCATAAATGTAGTTGTGTAGTCCAATGAAATCAATCTAAAGACTCATTTAAAAAATCAAATTCCAAAATGCACTCACTCTAGTCATTCCCTTAGTTGTTCCTCCAGTTAATCACCTTAAAACGTAGCATTTAAAAAAAAAATAAATGTACTTGAGGAAAAAATGCCTCACATACCCTAAGTAATTAATTAGTTAAATAAGTCTTGGCTTACATGGAGCGCAATATTTCTGTATGCCGTCGTCTAATAACTTATTCGGACTTCCCATTTTGTTTTGAGCAGAAATTTCAGTGAGAGAGAAGCATTTCGATTTTCAGCTGACAGTTTAGGGTTAAGATATGATTCCAGGTAACAGAAGCCAATGAGAGTACACCCAGTTGATGTTTGTGACATCATCTTCCAGCCGGAGTACACAGAACAGCTGAGGCAGCGTTCAGTTTCAGCCCGAGTGCCATTATGATGGATGTTTACATGTCTTCATTGAGAGCCAATTATCTTGCTTTTGTGTGAGGCCCAAGGATCACTCATGCTGCCAGGCTGCACAGAGCGCTGTTGGATCTAGCTGAACGAATTGTTTTCCCTGTCTCGGGTAAGAGCCTGTTCCGTTTACCTTCTCATTCGGAAGAGAGGTGGATGTGTCTAACGGAGAGAAGAGTGCAAGGGGCTGAGAGCTGAGAGCAGCGTTCCTATCCGGTAAGCTTTTAATCAGAGCAATGTTTAGCATGGTTAAAAGGAGGCTCAAATGTAGCTAAAGGGATGGAAAAGGACTGCTGATGTGTACCTCGCAAACTAATCTGTAGTAGCGAATGGATAGCAGGTATTTCAGCTTTTCCTTAGAAAACGGAAAGTAAGTGATACCATTGGACTGCTATCTTTTAAATGCTTTAAACACTTCTGTGTATGGATAACATTCCGCTCATTTCTTCGTATTTTGCTACTAATGGTAAAGAGGGACTGAAATGGTCAAAGTAATAGGGCCATGCATGTAAAATGAGTTCAAGTACCTAATTGTTAAATGACAGTTCTTTGGGACAGTTTTTCTAAACTTGTGCCTGGCCAGCAAATACAGAATTTACCGAGTGAGCACAAGGCTTTAGTTTTGTAATGAACTTGGGTCACTTTCCATGCAAACCTCCTCTTTTAACTCAAAGAAATGGTAATAGCAAATAATTTTTTGTTTTGTTTTGTTTTCGAGACAGAGTTTCTCTGTAGCTTTGGAGGCTATCCTGGAACTAGCACTTGTAGACCAGGCTGGCCATGAACTCACACAATTTTAAGGAACAGTGTGGGGTATTTTCCCCTGGTATGAAGTTTATTGTACTAACTGCTTTGGGATGTATAGGTAATACCATATTTATGCATCTGAGAGTCGTGAAGACCTTCAATGTTGTGATCATTTCTCAGTATTGATATTTTCATCTGAGGATCCTTTTTATGTTATATCAAACTAAATATGCTTGCAAGTCGCTGAACTGCTCTGGATATAGGTGATTGGATCTGATAGGGATCTTAAAAAAATAAATATGCTGTAAGCTTTTAATTGATTAAGAATTTCCCTAAGCTAGCAAAAGAATTAAAAAAGAATACATTTAACTTTTCAAATGATGTCTGCTCTAATGGTGAAATGTAGCAGATTATTAATTGATTGAAAGGTGTTCTTTATGAGATAAAGGCTTAAAAAAACTCAATAGGTGCGACTGAATTTAACATGCTTTTAATTTGGAAGGCTCTCTGTCACTCTAGTGTAATAAAGTTTTGAATAATGATCACTCCATGGGGCTTTTAATGCTCTTTTGCTGTTTAAATTTATTTTTATTTTTTATTTTTTTAGCATCAAGTATCTAGCCTGTCTTTTCAAACCAGCGATGTTCATAATTAGAAATCAGGATCTGAGGTACTCAGGTTGTGCTGATAGACAGCAGGGGGGTCACCACAATGTCTCCCTCTGTCTTCTACTAGCCTGGTCCTGTTTGGCAGTTCTTGCCATCACTGTTGTTCGATTTGTCTCTTTCATTCTATTCATTCCTGAACAAATCCAAGCTTAGAGTGTCCAATACCCATTAACGCTATCTAAAGAATGGGGCTTTTTGTCTCAGTCAAGACAATGCGGAATCAATCAAACTTCAAAAAGTTTTCCAGTGTGCTTTGGGGATTCATCTTTCTCAGAGAAAAAATCTATATTTGTATATACTGTGAATTCCAAAATCACTGGATTTGGAAAGATTCAAAATTAGGATTATAAATGTTTTGTACTGTGAATTCAGAGAATAAGATACCTTGCTTGGAACTGAGGTTTGCCTTCATTTATTTTGCCTTCAGAACTTTAAAACAGAATGAAATGACCCATGAGTATGGATGTTGTTGTTTTCACACACGATCAATCTTGACTAAGAGAAAGCATTAGTTTTCTAATAATTAATTCTCTAAAAAGCTATTTGTGTCAGTCTGCCCACAGTGAGCAGTCTAGATATTGCAGTTGTATTTTGCTGTGTATGAGAGTGTATTTATCTCTGTTTCAGTCTCTCTAAAAACACATGCACTTGTACTAGCCATGATTACTATAAATACCATATCTCCTGCTTTCTTTTTAGCAGCTCTATGACATGTGTATACATAGGATGTGATTTTCCAGTTGACAAACTTCACTAACTGGAGCCCTTAGCTCTTATTTCCCTTTTCTCTTAAAAGAACATATCAATTCCTTTTGCTATATACTTCTGAGGAAAGTCTCCCCACACAGTTTACATAGGTGAAAAATGCTCTGTGTTCTACAGGTTTCACTAGTGATATTTAATGCACAAATATTGTTTTGTCTGAGTTAGGGACTTTATCCTTTTGAGTGTGTTTCTCTATTATCTCATAATCTTTGTATTTGGCACATCAAGTTAAGTCAGGTCTTTCTTAAGAAGAGCATGGAGTCGTGATGATGAACAGGTCCTTATAGGATTCTGTGTGTTTCTCTGTGTTTCTCATAGAAATGGTAAAGAGGAGCCATCACACTTGACAATTCTCCTTCTCGTGATAATTTGTCTATTTTCTCTCTCCCTCTCCCTCTCTTTATCTCTCCCTCTCCCCTCCCCCCCTCTCTCCAGTGTTCAATCTCTCCTACACTTTTATGCAGGTCTCTTCCTCAGCTGTCTAGAATGAACAATAACATTTAGTTTTCTAACTTCTCAGTTCATGCACTCAAATGTACCAAATGTTTAAAGCTTTCTAGCTAACTTTCTGCTGAAGCAAAGTGGAGTTACTCTGTTGATATTAGTTTGAGCTTTAATATTTTTAGAATAATTACGTGTATCTTGCAATTTGACTTGTGTTTTGGTGGACAAACCCTTCACTTCTAGTAGCTGTTCTGTGATAAAAATGTGTGTGCTATAATTCATTGAAATAAACAGAAACTTGAAACTTATAACAGGAATTGTAACTTAATATCGGAGCTCATCCATTCAGTAAACTAATGGTAGAGGGGAAAGGACTCAGAACAGATTTGTAAATGTCAGTGCAATCAATCAGTCAATCAATCAATCAATTCATCTCTCTTTTCACATATTTAGGCATTTGCCTGTTAACTCATCAACTGCCTACTTTATGCCAAGGACACGTCTATGTGCGTAGAATGTACAACTCAGAGTATAGAAGAACATGTTATATTTTTCTTTCCTCTAATCGGGCAAGGTTTTATATTTAATTTCCAAAACTTGAAGCATTTACATTAATACTGTCTTTCCTAGAGTCCTATATGAAGTAAATGTAGAATTGAATAACAATTGAAATCAATCATTAATATTATAATTTTTAAATCTGCGTCTCATTCTGAATGGAGTGTCATAGAAATCGCATTGTACTTTGAGAATTGAGTGAGTGATGAAGACTGTCTCTCTTCAGTTTCAAAAAGTGTTACCATGTGACATTAGGAAGAAGAACATATAAGGCAGAGACATTACTCGGTATATGCTTTGCCAGGAAGTTTTAGAAGGCACTAGGCCTTGGAATGAGCTATCTTTTCCTAATGGAATTTCCAAATTTATTTTTATAATGTTTGTGATGAAGACAACATAAATTGAGGTCAAAGTGCTTTTAGTGTCAAATTCTCCCGAAAAGAGAGAATTAGCTGTTTTATGTGTTATTGATTTCTTTAGCTAGGAGTTGAGCAAGGTGAGAAGGTCATCTCGGCCACTGTAGTCATAAAGTCTCGTTTGACTGATGTGCCAGGGCATACTGCAAAAGATGGAATTGTACGCCCACGGCCCTGGGTCAATGTGGAAAATAAGTTGTTCCTCATACTGAGTATAAGTATTCTTATGGCAAGTCAATCATGTGAAACACCAAGCTGAACTGTGAGGTAGAGCAGAATAAAATCTGCCCGGTTTGACAGGGATTTAGTATAAAATTAGGTGCCAAAAACTTTCCCTCGTTTGCAAAACAGGAGATAATCTAATCAGGTTAGCAAAGAGTTCTCAGCAAGTCAAGAAATCAGCAGGTGTGTTCACACCCACTTCTTTGTTTTCATGCACTGGGGGTAAGAATAGTTTCTGCCGCAGATGTGAGTAAACTTTCTTCTCTCGCACATTTATATCCTTTATATCTTCATATAAAAAGAACAACAAAACTGCCTGCCACTGGGGTTGTTCTGAAAATTGTGTGGTCTTCAATTTGTGTGCACTAATCTTATGAAAGCAGAGGACCACAGATGTATGCAGTAAATGCTCAAATAGTTTTGCCTTTTGCTGGTATTTTTATTGTGAGTGGCTTGCTTGATAGAATGTGTGTGTGTGTGTGTGTGTGTGTGTGTGTGTGTGTGTGTGCGCTGTGTGTCTGGATGTTTGTGTGTTTGTTTGTGTGTGTATTTGATTCTTTGTGGGTGGTGGGGGCAGTGTTTACTAGAAGGCCTTTAGCTGTGATATCCGCAATCCTGTAACTCTGCTAAAGTCAAGCAAGCCCTGTTCTTTGAACTAATACTAATAAGGGCATTGAGAAGAGTGGTTTTAGTGAACAAAAATAGTAGACCGATGCTTACTCCTTACTCTGATATAACTCTCAAATTTGCAGCTCAAAATCTGAACTTATATCATATAGTATGTCGCATAGACATAAAATCTGAATGTCGAATCAGTTTCCACCTGAATTTACTCTACTCTGATTATTTTATTTAATTTACATTGTTCTAACTTTCAATAGCACATTAGCTCATGTAGGTGATGAGGTGGATGAAATCAAGCTGAATTCCTTTTTTAACTCAAGCAATTCATTGTGTTGCAAAAAGAACTTGGGGAACATAAGCAATGATTATATTAATTTTTATTGAAAAACTAGAAGAGTCCTAAAAAACCAAACTATCTAGTAGTTTAAAACAAGTACAAAAAATTGCTACAGATAACGTACAGAGTTAATGCAGGGGGGCCTCTAATAAACACAATGTCAAAAGTATCAGAAATATTCACCGCAGGTTCAGAGAAAGACAGCTAACTTAGCACGACGGAAGGAAGGCATGAATGAGTATTAAAATTAATGTTCATCTATGAGAATAAGTGTTGCTTGCAAAACATGATTCTGTGTAACTGATAACACCTGGCCACAAGTGACTCCTTGGCTAGAAAGCTGTTAGGCCCTTTGAACTCAAAATGCAACAGATGGTTTACAATGAGACAGCATTCTGTGGTATTGAAATAGTGGGAAATGTTCCCAAAATGAGC